TCTTTTGAGCTAGTATTTTACTCCCTTGGAGTGCAAAGCAGTACTGGCACATAGGATGTGGTCAGTACACACTTGTATATTGTAAACATGCACAATAAGTGCCTACCTAGTGAATATCTATGATGAGCCAAGCAACAATCCATGAGGGAGAAGCCCAGGGGACTCAGAGTTCTCAGCAGAGATTGTGCTGTGAGTATAGAGTCTTGGATTGGCAGTTAAGCAAAGCCTTAGAAACTTACAAAGCAGGTGAGGATGTTGACAATCTGAATAAAGCAGTAATATATGAAGAGGCAGGTCAGAAGATCTAGTAATAAGAGCTGGTTTATGTCATTGAAGACCAACATGCAGTGGTTTGACTGGGATAAATTTAGGTGCAGAGAATAAAAGGTCAGTGTGATTGCTGAGGTTGCAATCTCTTGCTCTTTGGAACCAAGTGCGAAGTACTCAGCTTGGACTCCCAGGCAATGCAGACAAGCAGGAAACCAATGCTCCCTGGGGACCTGTTTTCTTAGATGTGTCTTAAGGCTGGGTCAGGCCAGACTGGCGCAGAAGGCCCTCTGTGCCCCAAGCTTTGAAATAGCTTACAAGAGTCCTGCATTTGACAATCTGGTTCCCATTCAGCTACTGCTCCTGGTATTGACCGGTATGAAGCTGGAAGTCTCTGTCAATTGAGGTTAGATTGGTTTGGAAGACACACAAATAAACCCCAAAGACTAGCATTTGTAGAACAGAGTTTTACTTGAGCAAAGATTTAATATATTGCAAATATATTGCAAAAATGTATGCATCCTTTCTCCTAAGGTAAAAGTTCTGCCAATGTAATAGTAAGAAGCCCAGAAAAGTGAGAAATAGGGAAAAATAAAGATTTAAAGAAAGCATGTAGACCATTCTTTAAGAATGTCACAGTTCAAGGTCAGCCATGAATATCTCACACTTAGGTTGGTGCATCTAGTAGAGCTGTCTATCCCTGCCAACTTTTAGAACATACTTTCTTTTTTTGTGTGTTTCTTTGATTTTTTTCCATACCAGCTTCTAAATTGTCTGTTTAAAGCATGAGTAGGGCACATTACCATCATCCATCATTCACCCTAAATTTTCTCTTTCTTTAGAAATACAGGATCTATGATGGAAACATCAACAGGGCTCGAAGCCCCTACCACAGGAATGCTTTTATGAGAGTTACAAATTCAGAAACCTAGATTGGTGCTCAGCCATGTTTTATCTGTGTATGTGTGTGTGTGTGTGTGTGTGAGAGAGAGAGAGAGAGAGAGAGAGAAAGAAAGAGAGAGAGAGAGACAGAGAGAGAGAGTGTTAGAGGGCTGGTCACTAGCTGCAGTAATGATAGAAAGCTTTTCCTGAATGAGGTCATTGTCAAACCCCGTAAACACGTACTCTTAGGTTAATGGGGAAATATCTGTTCAATGGCAGTTTTACAAATGCAAGGCTACAAAAGATAACTTGAAAGCACAGACATGGATTACTCTGTCCCTAAGAAATGGAATCACTGTGATTTTTTTTTCTTCCCAAATTATAATTTTGTCACCCAAATAGACGCAGAGGGAAAGTGAATGGGAAATGATGGAAGACACAGTGATAGAGAAAAGGACAGGAATTTCTTCAGGAAGGGGAAGATATTAGCAGCCAGGCTAGATGGATTTATCACAAGACGAGGAAAAAAGAATTGTAACTATAGCTAACAATTACCTGAAGGACCCCAGGACAGAGGGAAGGTTAGGCTGTGCTGAGAGAGGGTAAGAAAGTGAAAAAAACCTTGCGTTGTCAACAGGAACCTGTGTTCAGGAAATTAAAGTAGATTCCAGCAGGGGGGAATCATAAACTGGACATATTGTGGAGAAAAGACTTACAGAAATCACATGGGTATGCATAGGGACATACAGAGCTGAGATTGGGAATGCAATGTTTAAAGGAAAACAGAAACTGAGCTAAAATTTAAATATGTCCAAAGATATGGAGTGGGGTGGGGCACGGAGAAAGAAGCCTCAAAATAAGCATGTGGCCTAGAGGGGACCCATTTTACATTTCTGAATTTTTTTTCAAAAAGCATGAATATTTCAAAGGTCATTTTCAGCGAAAGGAGGCAGAATGCATAGATTGGATTGTTTCCCTCAGGATACAGGAAGCAGAGTGCAAAATGAACTTCTTGGTGGTGGATTTTTCAGCATGACAGTTGACACCAATCAACTGATTATCATAGAGACTGAAATAAGGACTTCCACTTTTTCATGTGCTCTCTGTCTTTCTCATTTTCTCATCACATTATCAAATATCTGCTAGAGCCATTCATTAGGAAAAGCCATGTGGTACTAGACTCCAATCCTGCCAACTTTATTTTTCTCTAGGAGCCTAGACATCACTTGTGTTTTCTTAGTGTTTGTGGGAAGGTAGATGTGGCAAAGTCACTTCAAGGTGACTTTTTAGCGAAAGGATACCAGAAGGGTTGCAGTAATCAATCTCTGGAAAGATGGCAACAGCTATCCCATCCCAGTAGATCAAGCCTCCGCTACTGCTATTCAAGGAAGTCTCTAGACTCTCTTCTTGTGGCAATGGTACCACCGAGAATGAGCACAGTGAGGGATCAGAGAGGGTAAGAAAGGGGGATTTTATTTTGAATTTTAATCTCTCTCTGGATACTTATTAATGGGAGATTTATAATCAAATACATGATAGCACTTGGAGTGCTTTTCGGAAGCATGTGTTGATAACTCTGTGAGTTATATTTGAAAGCCTGGCTGGGCAGGCAGAGAGGGGAAGTGACTTCTAGCTTACAGTGCAACTGAAGTGTCACAAAGGGGCTCTGCTGATTTCTTCAAAGCTATCTAGGAGTCTGGGTCCCAGAAAGATACACAAGGACAGTGGGTCCTAAATGCTTGTGGTCTTGGGTATAGTCACTGCTATAACGTTATGATTCTTCTTTCCCCACTCACAATGCACAGGGAGACCATGGGGATCTACTTGAGGTCATACCTTGTGGACTGTATCGCCCAGGCTTTCATAGTCCTCAAGTTCCTTTGCTTTCTGTGTGCATAGTACTAGTTTTCATACAAGAAATGAGAGGGAAACCCCCCACAGCCCAACCTCACTCTGCTGTAGTCCTTCAGACAGCCAGATGAACACATGTGCCTTTGGTGATTTCATAAGACTGAGTTCTTATATATTTCTACAAAATGACTAAATGCAGCAGGACAACTATTGTCTGAATGCTAGTCAGGTCTTGGGCTTTCAGAACAGTGACCAGTAAATTTTTGTACTTTCTAAATTCTACAATGTTAGGGATTTTGTGAGAGAAACAAAATAAAACTAATACAGGGCCTAAACTCTCTGAGTTGACTTTTGGCCATCACAGACTTGATCCTGTGTCACAGCAATATGAACCCGAGTGTGACCTCTGAAGGCAGCACAAGGTTATCTGTATACATGGCAATTGTAATAACCACAGACTTGGTGCCAAGGCCTAAGTTCAGAAAAAAAAATGTCAGAGAAAATAGGTTGCTTCTCTTTTATCCCCACATTTTTTGTTTTATTATAAAAAAGGTACTAGTGTTTACTCTCTTGAGTAATAAAGCTGTGTCTGCAATGTTAATAGAAATGCTTTCACTGGAATGTGTCCACTCAATGATATTGCCACATGGACTTGCCCTTTGCTATCAGGTTACCCTTTTGGTCACTAAGCCAGTTATCCAAAAATTGTTGTGTGGATTTATTGCCTGTCTTGTCGGAGTTTGTGGTTCTAGCCTCCCTCCTACTCCAAGTGCTTGTATTTCAGAATATAAGTGGAAGAAAAGTCTTGGTCAAGGTGTTCAAGAATTGAGTAAGCTTTCTTCCTACTGTCTCCTTTGGCTGCCTAAACATTCCTGGATGAATGAGCCACCAAGAGGAAAAGCTGAACCTTGAGTCATTGCATGGAGAGGAGACGTTTTGACTAGGAGCAGTGTCTTAAGATATTATGTTAGGAAGAAGTAGATTTGTACCATTCTATGTAATGAACTAGGTGGGTTAGTCCACAATTCTCAGCTGGAAAAGGAAGTAGTCAAAACCCACCTTGCATTTACAAATGTATTCTTGTATTTAAATCAGATGAACAAAAACATGAGGTTTCTGCTTTGGTCCCTGGCCATCACTTGCCAAATCATAAGCAGATAGATGTATCCTTTTGAAATTATTGGTAACTTAATTTATAGATTAATAGAAATAATAACTGTTGGCTTTTCATTTCTTTGATTTTGTTTTTATTGACTAGAATTATGACTGGAATGAGAGAGTGTTTGGTATCTCAACATTCAATACATACCTGCCTCATAGGGCCTCCTTCTCCTTTTAGGGGATTGAAGCATGAAAATCAGAGATCAATGGTCATTTAGACCAACAATCTGTCAATAACCAGACAAGACGTTCCATATCCCTCCACAGAGGGGAACATAATGCTGAAGGTTGGGGCACAGACCTGAGCATGGAGACTAAAACACTTGAGATTCCAATTCTGCAAGTCTGCAACCATGAAGATCAGGGGCCCAACAGCAGTGCAGACAAACCTTGAGTGTTATCTGTGATCTAGGTTCCTTTGTTGACACATCTCTCGTGAACCACAATTTTCCTTATGATCAGATAAGTACAGATAAAGAAAAGGAAAGGAGAACCACTTGGCAAATAGCCTTGACTAAGAAACTTAGAATTCATTGTTACAAGCAAGTAGACAAGATGGAATGCCTTTCTCTCCAGTAAAACAGCTACTTTTGACCAGAAGCTAGTCCTTCTTCCTTCCCTCTTTCCTTCATTCCTCTCCCTTCACCTCCCTTTTGTTCTATTTCTCCTTCCTGGTGAGGTAGGTGACCCATGAGTCCTTTGTCACACTGCTACAGTATGTAGACTGTTGACTAGGGAAATAATTTAAAATTTACTACATGCTAACCCACATCTATTTGAAGAAGAAAAGTTGCTAGATATAAAAAAAGAAATTTGCACAAAATACAAGTATGTAGATATTTTTGCAACAAAAGAAACTATTTATTTGGAATATGCATTACCAGTACAAATTAGGAGACTGTAAAACCTACACCGTGTTAGTATCATTAGAGAACACAAAAAGTTCAGTTGGAATCAAAAGGGCCAGAAGCCTGTGCTCTCACAGAAGCAGAAAAGCTTAAACTTTCAAAACCAAAACAGAGCAGAGCTTTGCAGGTTTATACTCTGAATAACAAGAAAAAAGGAGGGGAGAGGAAGAGGGAAATAAAATCAACAACCAAAGAAAAGCACTTCAAAATGAAAATGCCAAAATGGAAGAAAAGAAGTAAGAGAGAAAGGCAGGTGAGGAGGGATATTCAATGTTTTTATTTTAACAATAGGGAAAGAAGGTTTACAAAAAAAAAACCCCAGAGGTTTCTGAAAAGCTTTGAGCCAGGGATTGAAACCACAAAGGTGATGTGAAAAGCTCCTTATTATTTTGTTAGAATTTACAAACAAGAGCTCAGCGTTGGGGTGGAAAATGCTTCCTGAAGCATTCCACAACCACTCAACATTCTTTCTTCACTTTTCTGACAGAAATTCTAGCTTTCTGACCATATAACTTATTCAATGAGTAGTGTCTAAAATTGTTTTGTTCCCCCCCAGACAATATTGCTTTCTTTATTCTTTTAACTAATAAAAACATTCCAAATCAAGCCAGCTTTAAGCATCCATTTAATTCAGAGGACTTCAGCACACCAAACTTAATTTCTGAGCATGAAATCTACAGCATCAAGTCTGGCTTAATTTTTCACCAACTCTTCATTCAGAATCAGCAGCCTGACTGGACACAGCATCTGATTACAGTAGTGTTCATCATACCAGTACCTCTTGTGGATTCTTCTAGAAGAAAAATCCTGTGTAGTCAGAAGAGGCCTCTCATGGAATGCTATCAATTGGGGAGAAAGAAAGCACTTGATTTTGACATTCAGAATTAACAAAGGCAAAACCCTTTTCTTACAGTATAAGAAGATACTTTGGGCTGAGTACTTGAATTTTTGAAAAGCCAAAAGTAGAAGCAAGTCCCTGATTATATTTCTGAGGAACTGCAAGAGTGTCAGTCACTCTGGAAACACAGATAAGCGGGGAGATGTCCACATGGGCTTTATTATTATCATTGACATCAACTGAATTCTGAAGCAAAGTAGAACAAGGAAAGCCTACTCTACCATGTCATCTTTTCACATCACCTTGTATACATATTTAAGGAATAAAAACAGCAAGATTATAATCCTGACAATTAAAAAAGCCCTCCCCACTCAAATAAACAAACCAAAAATAACACAAAACTAAACCTTTTTTTTTTTTTTGTATTTTTTTAAGAGCATGAATAAAGAAAAGAAAAGAATTTATTCTTGGGTCTCAAAGTTAATAAACATAATAACTTGTTAGGTTGTACCTATATGCTCACTATTCCAACCTTTTTTTTTTTAAGTTTACAAAATGAATTACCGTCACTTTTAAACATTGTGAAACAGGAAATGGATGTGCACAACTCGACACTTTTCTAGCATTCTTGAACTAATTCACAAATGCAAGAAAATAAAAGAAAAATGGGGGAAATGAATGTAGGTAGTTTGGTGTTAAAAACGAATGCAGGAATGATGCATGGTGCAATGGTCACAGAAAGAAGGGGCAAATTCCCCATCCTGTTTTACGTGCTGTAAGGAGGGTCATTTTTTAAAATTTTTTTATTATAAACACTATTAAATTCAGACCGCTTTTTTGGTTTTTTTCTTTTATCTGAATATACAAGAACATTCATTATCAAATGTTCAATCAATACTACAAAGAACAAGACACAAGTCGCAAGAAAACAATGGAAAATGTTAATAAAGCTGAAAGAATCGTCGAGTATTTTTTTGTTTTTTTTTTCAGTTTTTTCTTTTAAATTTGAATTTCTGTAGTTTCATCTTTTTTGGTATCGAAGTCAGGTTTTTCTGGGCAGAAAAATAAAGAGCAGAAGTAAAGTGAGGAAAAAGAAAGATGTGAGAAGAGGCAACCAGCAAATTAAAAACAACCACAACAGCAAAAGGAAAAATAAAATTTAAAGAAGGGGCCAGTGAGCGTAAGTACTGTACTAGAGTCTAGTTCACTCCAGAGGAAGGAGTTAGGGATGAGGGGTAAGATGTAATGAAGAGTTCCAAAGTGAGCAAACCCAAAGTCTAGAATCATTCATCTGGGGAAGTTTGCTGTCAGAGAAAATGGGAGTTCCCCCACTTCCATTAGAAAATGAAGGAATCCTGGGGTACAGCTTGGGTGTCTGGAGTTGACCTGATATGAATTCCAGGAAGTTATTTCCAGAGACATGCTCTTCCCATCCACACAATTAGCCTGCCAGTATTCTCAGGTCTAGCATAATGCAGAGAAAGCGCATGGCTGCCGCCATGTTGGAAGTGACAGAGTACTTTGCAAAGGAGATTGTAGGTACAAAGGAGACCCCTAAGTGAGGTGCTTGAAGGGGAAGGTGCTGTGTAAGGTGTACTGCTGGGAAGGGAAAGGGAACTGTCTGCAAATGTAGCACTGCTCTGATTTCTTTTTGTCCCATGAAGTGAAGTGACATTCAATCTAGATCTGGGAGCCATTCTTTTTGTTTTCCTTGTGTTTTTTGTCATTGTTGTCTTTTTTTTTTGTACTTTGTCCTGATCAAGTGAGGTGACTCAAGCATATTCCTGTATGAATAGTTACAATATATTCCTGCCACTGAGAAAAACTTCTCTTCTGGTTCTCATCACTAAAGAGTTGTCCCAAAGACATTTCTTCTAGAAACCTGATTGATCTAGACCTGTTCTGACTATGCCACAATTTAGTAGGGATGGACTTTCTAGTGGCCTTGATCATCTAGATATGCTTTCATTTTTGCCATTTTGCCATTTCATCCACATCCACATTTCTAAAAATTGTTTAGGTAGTATCCCTGGTTCCCCCAAATGCACATTACTGAAGTACCATGCAGAATTTCATGACTTTGTTGACTAGCCATCCTTGGCCCTTAGGGTCTGGCACCGCCTCCTGGAAGCCTCTCAAGGGGAGCAAATGTGCTAGAGGACAGGTACTTTGCAAGGCCACATATGGGATTTAAGAACAAACAGGACCAGACACTACTTTTTCTAGCTTGAGGTTTTTCTCTTTCTTAAGAAACCAAACACCAAAATTAAATCAAACAAAACAAGTCTCCTCCCCCAACCCCCCGTCAGCATGGTGATGATATCTGGGTACTGATGGTAACCAGAATTTGAGTCAAGAAAATCAATATTGTCCTGACAAACCATGAACCTGCTTAACTACTGAAAATGAACAAAATCTTTTTTTTTTTTTTTACAAACCCTTTTGTGCAGAGGGTTCTGCATAGCAAACCTCAGTTTATAGATGAAGAAATTGCACCAAGAGATCCATCCACCTCCCACTGACTCAACCGGGCAAAGCTGTGATCTTTATTGCTGGCTGAAATGGCTCTCAAGAATGTTAGCTCAGGTGGAATTTGAGAATAGCTTTCCATTGGATGCAGTTTTGTTACACAATCTCAGTGAGCACAAATTAACGTGATGTTTTCAGTGAAAACATTATGGCCCCTTTCCCACAACCCTCATGTCTTCAAATTAGGCTAGCTATAAGCTCACCTAAACCATGTTCTTACAACACTCCTCCAGAGGAAGAGACCAAGGTCAAGAACATGGTACAGTATGATGTTTTGGATAATGCACTGTGCCTAAATACAAAAACAAAAACAAAACAAAAAAACCAAATCCATGATAGACATTGGAAGTACTTTCTGTAGTTCCCTGAGGTGGGGTGGACAGGATTACTGTATGCTGGAGACCTGGCCTTCATCACAGTAAAGTCATGGGCATGCCATTCTGGTAAGTTTATGTCTACAGGGTCTAGAAGCCGCAGGCTTCTCCATATGGGTGGCTTTCACTCTGAAGATCATTCCTTTCCCTTTCTCAAGCTTGTCAGGCAGAGTGCTGTCATTACTAATGTATGTATTTGTGTGTGACATGTTTAGAAAGAGAGCATGTGAAAGTGTGCATGTGTCTAAATGTGTTTGTGTGCATGTGTGTGCACGCGTATGGAGGGATAGTTAAAGCTTGTCACGATCAGGTGCTTCTAGTCCTAGCTGATGTAGCATTTAGCACTATGCTAAACCTGGTTTGCAGTAGGTTCTGAACACTGTTACCTAAGTGTTGAATGGTCTCCAAAGATTGTACCTCTGAAACCAAGAGCTGTGGTTAGGAAGATGAGAAAGCCAGAAGAATCCTGTCCTACTCTTCCTTCTACCCTCCCCTGCTGCCTGACTTCTTGCCTGGGAAGCAACCTAGTAGAGCTGAAACTGGAAAATGTGGCACTTTTTACAAGCCCAGCAGTCCCAAAGAAATACCTAGGACCAGAAGGAAGCAGAAGAAAGTATTTCAATAAGTGTTGTCCCCGGGGAGGAGGAACAAAGAGGAGTAGAGTGATCTGGAATGAGTAGGGCAATGTGGCATATTCCTGGTTAAGAGGTAGTGAGAACAACAAGAGAGACAGAGAGGGATTTCCTGTTAACGTAGGGATGAGGGATCAGAGTGAGGTAAATTTGGCTCCTCAAACCACCAGCATGAAAACATACAAAGACTTTTATTATTATTATTTTTTCTCTGTGGATTTTTTCATCTTTAAATTCTCCTAATTGTTAAAAATATCCTTCAGTGATGTAATAGAGGACAGGGACCCCGGAAGTCTAGCACAGAGGGCAGGGGACAGGGAAGATGATGAAAACCAGGCTGACAGTTGAAGGCAGGGAAGGGTGGCTTCTACCCAGAAAAAACAAAGCAAAACAAAACAAAACACAAAAGGGAAGAGAGTATAAAGAAGTGTCCAGATTGGCTGAAATAGCATCCCAAAGAAGAGAAGAGAAGGAGACTCTTATTGTGTTTGCTGATTGCTTCGACCTCCAGTCTGACCGCTTCAGCGTTGGGAGAGAAACCCTCCCTCCTGCCCCTGCCCCAACTGGGGCCCAGGGTCAGCCGGGATGCGATTGCTGGGAGATCAGTTGGAGGTATCAGAGTGAACACTGCCAGGGCCTTCTGTAGGGGAGGTCACTGATGAAGGGGTAGTAGCATCCTGCCAACCTCCATTAGCCTAGAAGGGAAAAAGGGAGAGAAGTCAGTTCTCTGCCATCGGGTGGCCGTTTTGAGCAGACAATGACAATGAGGGCCTAGCACAGTGCCTGGCACACTGGAACACTCATTGAATAGATAGCTATCATCGTGGGCGATAATGCTCCCCCACCCTCTGATAAGTTCGAGTAAGCCTTTGGATCCAGTGTTTATGTCTCCCACTTGGGTAATGTGTTTACATTTCTCAAAGACTTTGTAATTCTGTCCTAGCCATCAGGAAAATGATAGCTGTTCTGCAGATCCAGAGAGTTTTTGTATTTTGAGTTGGTTTTGTATTCTGCTTCTGACACTGGCACCAGCTGGTTGTTACCAATGATGGAGAGACCTTCACATCTAGATCTTCACATTTTGGCCACGGGCTCCCATTTTGGGAAATAAGATTGGCCCAAATGCATTCTGAGGTCCTTTCTATTTCTGTGTATTCCAGGTGCCTATGGGATTCTAAGTCCCTGTTCTATGCAAAGTTCTGGACTAGAAGCTCTTGAATATATACTGATAAGTGAGATGTGGTCCATGTTCTCAAGAGGGTAAGAGAAGCCCATGAATGTACTATATAACCCAAAGGACAGCCCTTTGTACTATATAACCCAAGGACAAGAATGGCAATGCCCCCTGTTACGAAGGGTCAGTGAGAGTCTTGTCACACATTGTTGAAACATCTTTAGCTACTGCATCTCATAGAGAAGATGCTCTTGAGAAGAGATTTATGGGGGGTGGTGAATTCAGGTAAAACAAGATATACAAGACCAACCAAGAAGATAGGTCTTTGTGAATGCATTGGAGAGGTTGGGAGATGAAAATTATAAGCTTGATTAACATCTGGGCTCTAGATTCAGAAGCTCTGGATTCAGTCAAATAATGCATTTGCTCTAAAAGGATTTGTTTAACGACCCACCCTTTAAAAAAAAAACAACAAAATCACCTCCAAACTAAAATAGTTGAAAGACTTGCTGTGGCTATTTTCATAGGACAGCTTTCAAGTTGTTTATAAGTTCTAAAACACTGAAATAATTGCACCAAATTCACTTGTCATCCCCAATCACTATGTTCTCAACTCTGGAAATTTTAATGTTGGACAGACCAAGTCTTAGATATTCCTACTAAGATATTTTCTACTGTACTTTCCTCTCATTTTATTCTTTGCAAAGTTTGGAGTGGAATGAGCAGGTATTATCATTTTCATCTGGGAGTGAGCACCATTTCTACTCTTACATATTCCACAATATGAAGGAGAGTGTCTGGCATTTAACAGGTGCTAACCAATGTCTGCTCACATTTAATTCACAGGGGGCAGAAATTTAATAGAAAAGCAGGCTTCCTGGCCATGGCTGAGACAGAACACAGGCCTCCTAACTTTTGAGTTTAGGCTCCTTAGTTCTGCCCCCTTAGAGCCACTTGACTTTCTTTTGCATAGCATCTCTTCAAGGATGCTCCAATTTTCCCAGGAAAGTGACACTTAATTCAAAGCAGCTCCTGCCAATCACTTTAAAATAATGATAGGTTTGGTCTTCTCCTTACTAAGGAGCAGATCTAGAGACTCAGAAGCAAACGCTGATCATAGGAAGTGCAAAGACCACCTCTCTTCACTGTGGGTTTCTGAATGACTACTCTGAGCTCCCATCGCTCACCTCCTAATGCAGGCAGACAATTTCTCCTTTCTCTGTGGGAGGACGCCTCCCCCTCTTTTGTGGTAGGGAGCTTCCATAACAAACAGTGAGGGAAAAAAATCAGCATTCTTTCCTTCCTAACAGAAAGCTTTTCCAGATTTTGGAGGCCATGACTCTGTGTAATATAATCCATATCAAGAAAATCATTAATTCAGACACAGATTTGTCACGGGGCAATAGCTTATTCTCCCTTTTTACCAAGAATATATATATACATACACACATTCATATATATTTACATATATGTTATATGTATTGTTATACCATTTTAGGCTGACTGATAATAGTAAACTGAAACAACAAGGTATGTTTAGCCTATAATATTTACAAAATAGAAAAGCATAAAAAACTAAATACTCAATCAACACTCCTAATTCTACTACTTGAAAATAATTACTGTGAGCATTTTGATATTTGCCTATCCTGATAGTATTTTATATGTTTGTGTTTACCAGATATTTAGATAGTCAGATCAACAGATAGACAGGTATGTAGGTATTTATAAGGTGTGAGTGTGGTATGTGTGTTGGCTGCATACTATAGAATTTTAAAGGAAGGTGCAAAGGTTCTTTAGGTTCAATGACATGAAGCAGGGCAAAGTACTAGTAATAGAGAATGAAAGTCACACATTCTCAGGGTCACCTGCTATGAGACAAGCAAAGACAGAGGTTCTAGAAGAACAAGCATGGCACAGGGAACTTTACTGCATAAACTACACTATACTGTGGTCCAGTCACATTCTAATTCCATCTAAATAGTATTAAGTGGTGTCTCTGGTGAAGACATTAGTAATGCCAATTAGCCCTATGCTGTTTCATTGCAAAAGGGTTGGCAAGGCAGTCTATACTGCCCAGATATTCTAAGTGCACATGTGTGCATTCACATGTGTGTATGTTATCTCTGGACTGAAAAATTCAAATAGAAGACATTTGAATTCTTTCTTCAAAAGTTCTATTTTCTCAGACCAGTGTGCAAGATGCTGGAGGGTATGAAAACCTCACAGATGGTAGACACAGAATTAGTTCAATCTGATATCAAAACTAACATTTTAATTATGCTGCTTGGCCCAGTGAAGAAGAATATACAAAACACGCTGTTAATAATAAGTACACAGATACTAAAGAACCATAGCTGTTATGTCACCCCCAATCCATTCATCAGGCAGCACACACACACACACACACACACACACACACACACACACACGCATTCAGATTCAGTGATTTCTTATATCAGTGTGCCTAGGACTCTTGCATGTTAGCACTAAGACTTCCAAATTCCTGTGGAGCCTTGTGGCCCAAGCAATATGGTATTGCTCACTACTCTGCCCCCAAACACTACGACCCACTATTTCTTGCCAAATTTAGGAAATGGTACTCTGTGAGGTTTATAGACAAACACAAGTACTTTGTAGAGTAAGCATGTGTGTCTTTTCTCTAGGGGTGCTTTATAAAATGGTACACTGTCTGTTGCTGTGGCTGTTAAAACCTTCACAGGATCAGAGCAAACCCGACTTCACTGGGTTTACCGTAAATCACTCTGGCTGCTTCAGCTGTATCATTCCAGCTTTAATGGAAGACGTTCAGAGGCTGTACCATCTTGGGAAACAGCTGACCTCGCTTACTGCCACGCTAACCCTGGGGAGCAATTTCTTCCCCCTTTCTTGACTGCGGGTGAATATTAAGTAGGAAGCTCCGTCTTTGTGTGTTTATTTATCTCTGGGCACAGAGTAGATGCTCTCATTAAGGACAGTGTGAGAATGGCAGGAAATAATACTTGCATCCAGACTTCCTCCTTCAAAGCATCCTTAATAATGGACATGCTCTTCAAAATGCTCATGTTTGAAACCACCCTGAGAAGTTTCAGGAGTAGGAGGTAAAATCTGAAAAATCAAATGCATTCTTTTAATTTCTGAAAACATTCTCAATGGAAGAGAGTCAATAATTTGCAAAGAGTTTTGCAGGAAATTCTGTATCTGGGAAGCATGACCCAATCCCCCTTTAAATCCACTAGCTGAGGCCTTAAGGCCTTAAGAGCTTCATTGTGGGAAATGTTAAGAGAATGCAACAAAATTGGAACGATTTCTAAGATAAGAAAACCTGGGTTTTTCAGAATACAGATAGAAGGTATTTGTTTAGAAAACACACAAAAATGATTATTCTCTGATAAATCTGTCTTCTCTGATGAATTTGGTCCTTAATTAGATTCTTAGAAGTTTATCCATCTAAAGGAGAAAACCCTGTCTGAGGAGGTGGAAATTGCTAGCTCCCAAGCCAATGCTGGGACAGTGGCAGGTAAGAAAACCTCTTAGGCTTCTCCTGGTGGAGTGGAGTGGCAACAGAAGCCCTGCTTTCTCTTTACAATGCAGCCTGTGCCTCTCCCAGACTGTTGTGGATCCTGTAGAGCTTTTAGCCCAAAGCAGTGGCTGCTGGACTGAGAAGTGCCTGTCCCATCTCTTCTTCTTCCCGCTGTTCCTCTGCGCTTACCTTAGCAGCACATCATTGATGCAGAGAATTCATCACCTGATGTGACAGCCCAAGCGAGCCTGGCACTAAGAAACTCTCATTTGCAACCCAGAAATACGCTGAGGTGCCACAAACTGGCTGATGTCAGCAGTGAGTTGAGCTAGATCTGCATATGGGCCAGATGCCATTACAGAGATGCCTTCAGCATGGGTGAGAAGGTGTACGTGCTCCAGGCCCTCAATCACCCAGGCCAGTGGGGCAAGCCAGGAAGCAAAACAAAGGAGCACTGATGCACCCCTTCTCCCTTTTTATGCATGTGTGCGTGTGTGCGCAATACACACTCACACACACGTGCACATGCACGTGCACTCACTCACACACGTACACGTGCACATGCACGTGCGCACACACACGTGCACATGCACGTGCACGCGCACACCCACACCACTCACACACGTGCACATGCACTGCGCACACACACATGCACATACACACGCACACACACACACGAGCACATACACGCGCACACACACACACAAACACACACACACTCACACACACGTGCACATGCACGTGTGCGCACATACACACACACACACACTCACAGCTATTTATCCCAGAGACATCAACTCACACCGAGGTCCCACCCTGCATCTATCATCTGTTATTTTCTTCTCTCTACTCTCCTCTTTTCACCTTTCCTCACCACCTCTATCCATTCCTCTCTCCTCACACCCTGTCTCCCTCCTTTTTAGATAGAATCTCCCTGTGTAACTTAGGCTGACCTTAAACTTGTCTTCATCTTGCCAGTCTCCCAAATGCTGAGATTA